CTAACGTGGATAGTGTAGAGGTGATGCCCCAAACTAAATATTTAATATGGTAAACAAAGTCAAAACTATTTCTTTTTAGCACCCTCAGAAATTTTTATCTAGCTTCGCCTTTGCCTCCAGATACATATAATAAATTTAAGGTTATGATATTTCAACAAAATAATAATAGATTAATTTTAGATAGTAATCGAAGGACAACCAACGAATCAAATAATTATTTCATACTTTGAAAATTCAACAGATGGAGAGTTTGAAATTTTTCATAAATTATTCGACAAAGAGGAATTAGTTTCATATTGGCAATGGCACCACTATTCTATCACGTAATATATATTTATGTTAATAAATTCATAAAAATTGAATAACCAAAGAAAATATGTATTTTAAATATCGCTTATTTAAAAATTACTGTACAATCAAAACATTTTACGAGTAGAGCTTTTTTATCTCTATTAATGTTTATATTTTATCTAATGAATAATTATTTTTTATTTATTATTATATATTTGTAATTCAAATAAATTAACTCATAAATTATACCACTGTTAAAAATAATATTTAACTTTAAAATTTAATTAATTTTTTTTGAAATCGTATACTCTTGTATGTATTATTTTATATTGGTGAAATATTTATTAATTTAATTGGATACACTGATTTTAAGTACTTTTTTTAAAACATTTTTCAAATTATTTTACAATTTTTTTATTTTTTAGAGTTGTACTATAATTACTTTTACGCGATAAAAAATAATTGTAATACTTATCTATATGAAATAAGTACATTATTGTTTTTAATTGATTTTTTAATCAACTTATTTAACATGTAATAACAATATAATGAAAATCACAGAAGAAATATTATGAACATAATTTATCACAAACAATATAAAATTGTTTACATTTTATAGAATTATAGACAAATCGTTGCAAGTTCAAAAACTGAATATTAATAATAAAATGATCACTTTATTAAAAATCACTGACTTTAAAATACAATTTCTTCATTGGTTTGGAATAGGTACCAAAAATGTGGGTCATTGGACACTTTATTGCAGTGGACCAGAGAGTAAATATAGCAAAATTCAAGTTATTCATTTATCATTATTATAAGTTTTCTTCCAATTACAATAAAATTGCTATTAATTAATACTAAAAAGATATTTCTCGCAGATTATCCCTTACCCCAAGCAGAACTACCAGAATGTACTATATCATTATCTGGTTATCAATATAGCGGATCACAATGGATTACTGAAAACGGGGAACAATGCCTTCCTTGGAACATAACAGAGCTGCGCAAAGTAAGTCAATTATTCATATAATAATTATAAAATTGATATGCTCCAAATAAATGAGATATAAGTCTATGCACTTATTTTCACATAGACACTAAACTAAATAAGAAAATATTTAATATGGTAAACAAAGTCAAAACTATCTTTCAGTAACAAAAAATAAAACGATTAAATTAGTGAGTTATACAAAGAAAGATATGGATAATGGCTTGAATACTAAAAAATTTAAATATAAAAACATTTCTTCGTTAATATTTAATAAGTTAATAATGCAAATATTTTAGTTAAATTAACTATTTATTTTACAAACATAATCTTGAATTCTGAGATAACTAATAATTTTATAATTTTTTTCATAATGAACCAAATACCAAATAACTAATAAAATTGAACAAACAGAAAATTATTGAATATATAACAACATAAAAAAAATAAAATTAATGTTTTATCAAACAACGACAAATCAATCTTCATAACATCTTAGATTTGTTGACTTAAATTTTGTTTCCCTTGCTGAAAATAAAAATTCAGATTTTCAAGACTTGCATCAATAAAAGCTTAGTTTTCAAATATGACAAACGCAAAACTCTCTCTATTGCTAAATTTAAATTTAAATTTAGTTTTGAGTACTTTTGATTTTGAAGTGGTTTTAAGTTTTTTTTTTCATAAAATTTATATAAAACAAATAAAATTTAACATAGTAACAATGAAATTTATCAATTTTCATGAGACATATAAAAAAAATTGCATCATAATAACTTTTTTTACATTTATATAAAAATAATAATAAAATCCAAGCAAAATGTTTATCGAATAATGCGATAATTATTTGTGTTTAATGTTCACCAATAAACAAATCATTGTTTCTAAGGAAATTAAAATATTATTTTTTGAAAAACTATTTATAATTATAACATTTCTTAACTATCAAAAATCTCATGATGAAATTTCTCATTTCATAAACATTTATGTAGATTTTCGATACAAATATCATGAAGAATGAACATTTTAATGATCTAAGTAGTTAATATAAGACAGAAAAAATTTCGTCTAGAATTCTTATTTTAAAAAAAATTATTATAATGCAATATTATTTCTACGTCTCATAATGATTGATAAATTGAATTGTTACTATGTTAAATATTATTTGTTTTATATAAATTTTATGAAAAAAAAACTCTTAAATAAAAAGTACTCAAATTAAATAAAAATTATAATTATTCTATTTTAATAAACAATAAAATTTCCCTATAATAAAATTATGATTTCTTACACAAAATTATCTACGAACTTTTATTCATAGACATTTTAAAATAAGTTAGTTTTAACAGATTGTTGAAAAATTAAATAATATAAAATAGTTTAATATATTAACTAATAATATTAATTGTCAAATAGAAAGTAGATGAAAAACTTTTAATTGACGGAAATTATGTAGCAGCTAATAATTACTGTCGAAACCCTACCAAAGATCCTAAAGGACCATACTGTTTTATAGATACCAATGGGACTGTTACTCAAAGACAGTGTCTCATTAGAAGCTGTCGAAATATGAGGTCAGACCTAATATGCAGGGAAAGCAGCTGATACGATTACATATATGTGATCATATCTAACATTATTATTGTAACGTCGACTAGGCTTATTTTGTTGACACAGTGACACACGTATTACTACAGGAGGAAAGACTACACACATAAACACTTTTGCAATTCACGATCAATGTACCATAATAATATATCTCTAACGCCAGTTGACATTTTACCATCATCGTGACCATTACTCTTTCCTTATATTTAATTTAACTTACCTACCACGTATATAGTGTGTGTCGCTAGCAGCTTCCTTTTGGATTATATCATCTCTAGGTGTTCAGCAGGCATAAACAAGAAAATAGACCATAATAAAAAAATACAACAATAGCTTGACAATTTTACAGAAACCCTTCTGAAGAGTCTGTGTATGAATTCGGGTAAAAATAAGTACAATGTAAACAATAATAGGAATTATAGTAAGAATTTCAATAATAATGATACTTTAATAATAACAATAGAAATGTAGATAATAATTATAATAATTTTGGTAATAACAATGCCAATAATTTTAATAATAACATTATATATAATAATAAATATCAAAATTACAATAATTCAAATCGAAATACAGATGGTAATTTTATTACTAGCGTCATTACATAATATCCCATCATCAAGTGAATTAAACACCTATAACCGATCTCGACAAAACCGTTGTCTAATTTCCTTCAGCTATTATTCCAGAAATTTTGCACGAGGTCACCACAACTCCGAAGAGGGGGGGAATATTTGGTGAAAAGTGAGCTTGACTGATGAATATATATTCAGAAAACAAAATTTAAAAATACATAAACGGCTATTTCCCGTTGGTCCCTTAGAATACTGTTGGTGGGCATTTAGGCTCAACTACTAAATAGCGACTTAACACATGTTACACTTTTTTCTTAAACTTTAAATTTTCTATAGTGAATTAAACAAAGATATAACTAGATAATTAAAAATAATTATATAATTATAATTATAGATAATTAGGTTCCCCAACAGAAATAATGCATCTAAAATAAATGTATTTGTTTTACAAAATTTCAAACTTTGTAGGCCTCCAAATCTGAAGAAAATTGTTTTAAATATTTGAAATTTAGTTAAAATATAGATTATACACTGTGTAATAACACACTTGAAAGTCACTATAAAGTAATATAACTTATTAATAATTTTTATCGAGTTCAATTACGACAAATATGCAAAGAAAGTTATTAGAAAGAGATTAGAATTTCACATAATTTTTTTTTATTGTAAACTTTTAGTTATATTAAGGTTAATTATAAAATTTATATTAGATTTAATATAGAATAACCTATGTGTTTTTAACGTCCTGACTGTTTTTTAACATTTTTTACATAGTCATAAAAAAGGAAATTGTTTTAATATAACAATAATGTAAAAATGAAATTCGTTTTTTTGTACTTTGGTCGACTAATTGCTGGCTGTCCAGGAATAATCGTTAGGCATTACTTCAGGGCAGCTAACGTCACAATATAACACCTAGTTGTGAGTCAACCCAAAACTAATCAAGAGCTAATTCACAACGTGGTCCATTACCCTGCGCTACAGTGTCGGTGTGATCGGGTTCTATGGGGCTATGAAACGTTTGCGTGAAGGAAATGATGTGGAATCTGAAGGAGCATGATGTGCGAGTCCACCGTGCGGTGATGACCGTCCCCGTCATGCTCCTCAACGTGAAGGAATGGACGTGAAGGGCGAAGACAAGGTGTCGTTGGAAATCAGACCCGTGGTGGTCCGAGCGAACTCCGGCGGCAAAGGGCGGTACGCCCAAGTTAAGGTACCGGCAAGGCTAGCTCCCCGTATTGCAGGTATCGCCCGTATCCATGTGGGATGGGTCACCAGTCGGTAGAAGATACTCGCAGAAAAGGGTCCGAGATGCTACAGGTGCCTGAAGCACAGGCATGTGGTACAGGCCTGCAAAGGCCCGGACAAATCCAAGGGGTGCTTCTCCTGAAAAAGGATGGGCCAAGGATTGTCTGGGTGCAGGGTCAGTCATAAAGGACCCAAAGACCTAAGGAGGGTCTGACAAGAAGACTCCTAGCGAGGAAAGGCTGAGGGATCTTCCGTAGTGCAGTCCGCTAGATGGCACTCTCCCAAGCGTCCAAGAGTCTCCAAAAATCCTGGAACCGTAACTTTGGATTTCTGATAGTGTCTTTCCTTATTTGGTTTTACGGGTGACCTTTCCTGCGGTTTACCTGCCGCTAGGGAATTTGTTTTCGATGTTGCCTTCACCTAGGTGATCGCCTTACCAGGTTACTGGGCCAACCCACCTGTTAAACAAGTTCCCTCGAACGCTACCGCTTATTCGTCCACTTTAAAATTGGCTTATATCATAGCTACTCTGCATAATTGCAGGGTTAAAGAGTGAACGAGGAGCTCGCTGTTCATAACTACTTATTCGTCAGTACAAATTAATGGACTACTTATTTTGCAACTAACCTGCATATCTGCAGACCGTTCCTCTATCCACAACTTGAGGTCGCGCCCAATTCTTTGAGCTAGGGGAACTGTGCTCACGTCGACGTTTCATAGCCCTGTAGAGCCTGATCACACCGATACTCTAGCGCAAAAATAATAAATGATGTGGTCGAGAAACCACTTCTAGATGATTTGGCATGGTTTGCCCAATTAATAAGGAAAGAGTTCCGAAACGGTACAGTCATATAATAGAAGATATATATGGTGGCACTTGAACCAGGCTAAACACTATAGGAGGAATAACAGAAGCTTTTAGAGTAAGAGTCAAAGTTTACCAAGGTTCTGCTTTAAGTCCTTACTTATATTCTATAGTGGTGAATGAAATTACTACAGAAATAAAAGGACAAGTACTATGGTGCATGTTGTTCGCTGATGGTATAGTGTTGAAAGGTGAAAATAGGGAGGAAATTAATCAAAGAATAGTAATCAGCTCTTGAAGAAAAGGAATTAAAAATAAGTAGGAGTAAAACAGAGTATATAGAGTACAAGTTTGACAAAGGAGAACATGAGGTAAGAAAAATGAGATCAGTGTCAATAAGCAAGGACGTGGTAGGAAAGGTGAAAAGTTTTAGGTATTTCAATTGATTGATTGTGTAAAAGACCTGAGATATTAATGAGAATGTAAGAAATAGAATCAAGTGCGGGTGAATTAAGTGGAGAAAAGCGCCAAGTGTGTTATTCGATAAAAGAATTCCAATGTGACTGAATGGTAAGTTCTAAAAGTCTTTAATGATACTAGCTTTGATGAATGGTTCAGTGTTAACCAGTTAAAAAGAGAATGGCACAGATGACAATTTTAGGATAGACGAATAAAGTGACTAGAGAAGATAGGATAAGAAACGAACATATAAGAAGGTGTATAAATATAGCGTCAATCATGGATAAGACGAGAGAAAAAAGAATTAGATAGTTTGGGCATGTTATGAGGAGAGAGGAATCGGAAGCTGTTAGAAGAGTCATAAAAATTAATGTTGAAGAAAGAAGAGGAAGAAAAAAAAAAGAGATGAAAGCATGTTATAGAATAGGATATGTGAATGGCTGATGTGAGCGTAGATGATGTCAAGTCGAAGTTTAGGATAAGGGTGGCCGACCGCAAGTAGTTGGGATAAGGCGAGGAAAAAGAAATCCCTCACTGCATCGCATTCATTACTATACCTTATTCTAAAGTTCACTTGTTTCATTTAAAGTATTTTGGATAATTAAGTTATTGAACAATAAACTATTATTATTTAAAATTATCGTATGGATGACATTTAATAAAATATAATTGTTTTGTCGAATGAATAATTTAATAAGGTTAACTCTTTTTTAACTTAACATGATTAATGCACAAGTAATTGCGTATTAATTAACGTATTACGTAAAACTTAAAATAATAACGTATGCTATTGGTATAGTTCAATATTTTTAAATCTAATAATTTAAAAGAAATGTTGACATAAATGTATTAGTATCAGAATGATTAAACAGATGTATGTATTTGTTAATCATTAAGTGAAACTATAGTTGTATTATTTGACGTCAATAATGATTTATTTAGCAAACAATAAGTCTTAAAACATGATTTTTTATTGTTTATCACGTAACAATTATTTTAGAAGTTGTTTTAATTAGATATATAAGCTAGTGATCTTATTAAAATTGAAACTAAGCATTAAATGTATACATTCAGTTAAATTTTTCAAAAAAAGTTTTTAAATTTCAATAAAAAATGAAATTTTATATGTTGTTGGTCGTCATCATACTCTTTGTTGTAATTTTCATTACTCAAGGTATTTATTATAGAATTATGATTTATTAATTATAAGCCCATTTTGAATAGTTAATAATAATTAATGTGTTTTCAGATTCATTAGGTGCACCATCTAACAAAACATATGGTATGCATGATTCTTTTAAATAAAATAAAAAAAAAAACCAAGCACAGGGGGGTCGCGGCACAGTGATGACGTGGCATAGTTGGATCAAGTATAATGTTATCTGACAGTGATTAAAATCACAATAAAAAAAAAACGCTTCGATGCAAATCTTTAGATAGTGTTTAATTTTAAAAAATTGGTGGATTATTCCAAAAGCTTCATAAACTGCTAGTTCCTCATTAATATCCTGATTAAGATAAAGTATGTCGAATGAAAAAGGGATTATTAAAAAATAGTATTTCCCATAAAAAAATTATATTGATCAATACACTTTTCAATAAGTTATAGCATTATAAAGTTAAAAATGTAAAAAATAAAATTGAGAATTTTCACACAATAATAGCATTTGGTTCACCGTGAAGACAAAATAAAGTCCGAAATTTTTTTTTTACATAATAAAGTAGATTACATTAGCTTTAATTTAATATATATATATATATATATAAGTGTCAGACTCTCCGGAACACTTTCAAAATTTAAGTTGGAAAAGTCAATTTTTTGTGAAAAAGTTGTCATTTTAAATCCCTTCCTGTGGGCAGGTAAAGGGTCAAATTTATATATAAAATATACCAAATGAAAGGTAATGATATCATGCATCTATATAAAAAATTATATTGATATATTTATTTTTAAAAAAGTTATGGTAGTTTTTAGTAAAAAAAATTGAAAAAATTTCGAAAATTAGCCATTTTTAAATTTGTAATTTTTTTGGAGGTTTCCCCCATTTACGGGGAACTAAAATTTTTTTCAATTTTTGAGGGTAATGTCTTCGACTAGATACGATTTATAATCTTTTGACGTATCATTGAAAGAAATCGGTTCGGTAAGAGCTGAGAAGAAGTGTTAACAGACACAAAAAAAAAAAATAATAATAAAAAAAACACATCTTAGTAAAACCAATACCTTCTCAGCTTCGCATCGAAGCTAATATTTAGTCTCATGTAACATATTAATTTACAATGTTAATATCATATTTATCATTTATCATTTTTTTTAACTTATATAATATTGATTAATTCAATTTTATTGATTAAAAATTTGATTAAAATGAAATCTTCTAATAAAGTCTTCAGAAAACATTAATGATTTCTAATTCATGTAATTTCTATTGTAAAAAAAAAAACCTTTAATTCCTTGTTTTTATTGGTTATAGATGAATCATTTGAAATCAGTGACTCTGGTGAAAAGTACTATCTGGCTGAAGGTAATACATTTAAGATAGAATTGTACGAGAATTAATTGATTTTATAAGAACATCGATCATTTTGTGGCTTAAATTTATTATTAATGTATTATTCAAAATTGAATATTAATAAATGTAAATTTTACTTACAATAAGCAAGTTTATTGAAAACAAATTATTTTTAGACAAACTTATGATCTTATGTAATTTCACGAACCATATTGTAAAACATTTTCATTGATATTTATTTTTATTTAATTTTTATAATAATAAAATTTTTTAATTGTGTTTTAACACTCTTTTTTTGATATTAAGAACCACCTAACGTCGAGAAGAACTCTAGTGAAGAATACCATTTGGCTAAAGGTAATTTATTTTAAACAGAATTTCTTTAATTATCTCTTTAATAATATTACTATTATTGTCCTAGTAGTTTATATATATAAACTACTAAGCTATTAGTAATAAATATTACTTATTTAACATCTTCTTGTAAAAATAAAAAAAAGCATAATAAAAGAAAATTTTAAATATTGTTGACTAATAAACTAATCATATTAAAGTAAGATAAGAAAGTAAAATAGTTTTTATTAATTTAGTTTCAGCAAATTAATTTTAAATAAAACTTATTTAATCACGTAACAATAAAAATATTTATCAAAATTCATAAATTTATTTTAATTAAAATAGTATTGCCAAAATAAAAAAAACACCTTGGCCCATATTGTTTTCATCATCAGGAAATATTACTTATCATAGCTTAGTGGTATTCCTTTTTTTTTAATAATCATTTTAGAATTATTAAATTATATCTCATTTTAGCTTCGATGCGATGCTGAGAAGGTATTGGTTTTACTATGATGTGTTTTTTTTTGTGTCTGTTACCACTTTTTCTCAGCTCTCACCGAACCGATTTCTTTCAACGATACGTCAAAAGATCACAAATTGTATCTAGTCGAAGACATTACCCTTCAAAATTGAAAAAATTTCCCTCGTTCCCCGTAAATGGGGGAAACCACCAAAAAAATTACAAATTTAAAAATCGCTAATTTTCGAAATTTTTTTACTAAAAACTGCCGTAAATTTTTCAAAAATTAACATATGAATATAATTTTTTTTTTATATAGATGCTTGATGTCTTTACCTATCATTTGGTATATTTTTTTGTAAATTTGACCTTTTTTCTGCCCACAGGGGGGAATTTAAAAATGACAACTTTTTAACAAAAAATTAACTTTTTCAACATTTTTGAAAATGTTCCGGAAGGTCTGACACTTTTATATATATCTTAAATTAAAGCTAATGAAATGTACTTTAATTTGAAAAAAAAAAAATTGACCCCTGGACTTGTGTTCACGGCGAAAATGGCTATTGAATGCTATTTTCGTGTGAAAATTCTCGATTTTATTATTTATATTATATTTAACTTTATAATGCTATAACTTATTGAAAAGTTTATGGATCCACACAATTTTTTTTATGAGAAATAATATTTTTTAATAAACCCTTTTTCATTCGACATACTTTATCTTAATCGAGATATTAATAAGGAACCAGCAGATCAAGTAGCTTTTGGAATAAAACACCAATTTTTTTAAAATTAAACACTATCTAAAGATTTGCATCGAAGTGTTTATTTTTGATAGTGATTTTAATCATTGTCAGATATCATTATACTTGATCCAACTATGCCACGTCACCACTGTGCCGCGACCATTTTGAACAGTTATTAATCAATATTGTGTTTTCAGAAACATTTGATGCATCATCAAGAGAAAAAAGTGGTATGCATGATTGATTAATTATTGATAAATGTTTATTTTACTTATGACAAGCAAATTTATTGAAAATAATTATTTTTGGACACACTTGTGACCTTATGTAATACCACGGACCATATTATAAAACATTTTCATTGATATTTATTTTTATTTAATTTTTATAATTTTAAAATTTTTTAAATGTGTATTAACACTCTTATTTTGATATTAAGAACCACCTAACGTCGAGAAGAAATTAAATGAATTGATAACGGAAGGTAATTTATTTATGAAATATAATATATAAAACATTCAGAAAATATTAATGATTATTATACTTGACATTTTTTTAGTATAGAGAAATTTAAAAAAACATTTAATTCCTTGTTTTTATTGGTTATAGAGGAATCATTTGAAATCAGTGACTCTGATGAAAAGTACTATCTGGCTGAAGGTAATACATTTAAGATAGAATTGTACGACAATTAATTGATTTTATAAGAACATCGATCATTTTGTGGCTTAAATTTAATATTAGTGTATTATTCAAAATTGAATATTAATAAATGTAAATTTTACTTACAATAAGCAAGTTTATTGAAAACAAATTATTTTTGGACACACATGCGATCTTATGTAATTTCACGAACCATATTGTAAAACATTTTCATTGATATTTATTTTTATTTAACTTTTATAATTATAAAATTTTTAATTATGTATTAACACTCTTATTTTGATATTAAGAACCACCTAATCTTGATAAGAACTCTAGTGAAGAATACCATCTGGCTCGAGGTAATTCGTTTAAATAAATAAAAACCATGGCCTGCCTATATTGTTTTCATCATCAGGAAATATCACTTATCATAGCTTAGTGGTAATCCTTTTTTTTTAATAACCATTTTAAGGTTATTTATTTTTATCTGATTTTTAAAATTGAAACTAAGCATTAAATGTATACATTCAGTTAAATTTTTCAAAAAAAGTTTTTAAATTTCAATAAAAAATGAAGTTTTATATGTTGTTGGTCGTCATCATACTCTTTGTTGTAATTTTCATTACTCAAGGTATTTATTATAGAATTATGATTTATTAATTATAAGCCCATTTTGAATAGTTAATAATCAATATTGTGTTTTCAGAAACATTTGGTGCATCATCTAGCGAAAAGAATGGTACGCATGATTGATTTAAAATAAAAAATATATTTAGTGTCATGTAGCATATAAATTTTCAATGTTAATATAATTTATCATTTTTTTTTCTTAACTTATATAATATTAATAATTAAATTTTAATGATAAAAGATTTGATTAAAATTAAATCTTCTAATAACAATTTTAGAAACAATAATGATTTCTAATTCTAGTAATTTCTATAGTAGAAAAAATTAAAAAAAAAAATTCATTGTTTTTATTGGTTACAGGGAAATCATTTGAAATCAGTGACTCTAATGAGAATTACTATTTTGCTCTAGATAATTCATTAGAGACAGAATCGTGCGAATATTAATTGATTTTATAAGAACATTTTGTGGCTTAAATTTAACAATAATGTATAAATCTTTTATTTAAATTAAAAAATTGTATATTTTTTAATGTTTATTTTATATATGATAAGCAAGTTTGTTAAAAATAATTATAGTTGGACACACTAGTGATCCTTTGTAATTTCACGAAACATATTGTAAAACATTTTTATTGAAATTTGGTATTAATTTATAGTTTATTTTTATAATTATAAAATTTTTTAATTGTGTATTAACACTCCTTAAAATTATTTCTTGAAAAACATTTAGAGGAGACAATTAGAATATTATATGTCAGATTTTTATAAACTTAAGTTATTCTAATTAATTGCAAATAAAATTTATTTTAATGCGTAAGAATAAAAATAATTATTAAAATTCATTAATTGTAAAAATATATATAAATTAACGACATTTATAATGGTTGAAGTCATTTAGTAAAAAAAAATTAATGAAAAGAATTGTTGTATATATGTGCGCCATCAGGAGCGATAGTTACAAATAATAGGTTGGAACTATAGTGATGACTTAGAATCTTTTCTATTTGTTTTTGTCATTGACGTCACTGTTATGTACTTTAGCTTCGATGCAGGTATTAATTTTACCATGATGTGTTAATTTTTTTTATTATGTCTGTCACTACATTTTCAGCTCACATTGAACTAATTTTTCTCAACGATATGTCAGAATATCCCAAGTTGTATCTAATTGAAGACATTACCCTCAAAAATAAAAAATATTTACCACGTTCCCCGTAAATATTAAAAATCCATAAAAAAATTACGATTTTTAAAATCGGTAAATTTTTACATTTTTTTCTAAAAATTACCATAATTTATTTAAAAATTAAGGAATTAAAACAATTTTTTTTTATAATGAAACCTGAGATATTTCCCTTTCATTTGATATAATTTTTTTGATAATCCAACTCTTTATCTACCTACAGGGGGGATTTAAAGTAGCAACTTTTTAGAAAAGTCAACTTATTCAACTTAACTTTTGAAAATGTTCCAAAAATACTGCGTCCTTATTAAACTTATGTTATGTATTAATAATTTAAAAAAAAAATTGTCCTAACGACTTATCTTCTATTTGCAAATGGTTGCCGTAGTTAAAAAAGCATGCTATTTTTGTGTGCAATATTTTTTTTTATTTATTTTAAAGTACTTATACAAGTGTTTGTCAAAGTAATGAGTCCATCTATTTTTATAAAATTAACAAAAATCTAACTTAGATAGCTAAAGCTTACAATATAGTAAAATAATTTTAATAAAATAAAAAATTTCTTCTCACGAGTGGCCACTACAGTGATGAGATCCTTGATCTTTATTGAAGTTATTGAATCTAAATTAGATAAAAATCAAAGCAGTTGAAAATTTATTCTAACTTAAAAAGAATTAAGAAAAAAGGGAAAAGGCAAAAAATTCATTGCCATAAGCGGGAGGAACCTTGTACCCCAAGCGCGTAAAACTCAAGTTTAACCGACTCAGCAACCGTACGTCACGAATGTCGATTGAAAAAATTAGCTATTTAAGCTAATTCAAATTTCAAAGTTATTGTTCTCGAGTTCAAAAAACAAAAAAATTTTAATAAATTTAACTTTCTATGCTATCTCAAATTTTTACTTATTTTATAATATTTATAAAAATCTGTACTCCCCTTGACAGGTATTTTAAAATAAAATAAAATACAAAACCCAGAATTTTAACACAAAAATAGCATATTTTTGAATACGGTAGTCATTTTTACCATAAAGACAAATCCAGAGGTCAAATTTTTTTTTTCAAATTAAAGTATATTATATTAGCTTTAATTTAAGGTATATATAAAAGTGTCAGTATTTTCGGAATACTTTCAAAAATTAAATTGAAAATGTCCTAGTAACAATACGCATGTTTAAAGTTTTGACCCCCTTTGTAAAAAGGGGTATGATCCGATTTACAAAAAAAGCGTGTCATATGAAAAGGGTATATAAAAATTTATTATAAAAATATAATAATATTGATCCATACATTTTTCCAAAAGTTATATAAAATATAAATTAAATAATATAAAATATAAAATTGAGAATTTTTCACGGAAATCGTACGTTTTTCTTTAACTTTGATGTCCGTTTTCACCACGAAGACAAGTCCAGAGGTCAAATTGTTTTTTTCAAATTAAAGTATATTACATTAGCTTTAATTTAAGGTATATATAATAGTGTCAGTCTTTCCGGAACATTTTCAAAAGTTAAGTAGAAAAAGTTCTACTTACTATACGCATTTTAAAAGGTTTGCAACCCTCCCTGTATAAAGGGAAATGGTCCGATAAAAAAAAAAAAGTATATTGAATGAAAGAGGCATATATATATAGTATTTATTATTAAAGAATAGAATTGATTTATGCATTCTTTAAAAAGTTATAGCATAATGTTAAAAAATTTTAAATTTAATATCTAGAATTTTTTCACAAAAATAGCATATTTTTGCATACGGTTGTCAGTTTCACCGTGAAGACAAGTCTAGAGGTCAATTTTTTTGTTTTCATATTAATGCATATTACATCAGCTTTAATTTAATATAATAAAACATTTAAAAATATTCATATTCGATTTTATATAAACCATTTTTAGCGTATTAAAAAGTTTGATTAAAAATTAAAGAAATATTTCATGTTCCCTTTTTTTTACATATTTGAAACTACTATTTTATTTTATATTTATAATAAACCATTAGTCAATATTGAAATAATATTTTTTTTATTTTCTAACATTATAAATTTTCGGAAATATAATACGTAATTATTATGTCAATAAAAATTAGTTTACANAATATTGAAATAATATTTTTTTTATTTTCTAACATTATAAATTTTCGGAAATATAATACGTAATTATTATGTCAATAAAAATTAGTTTACAATATTATATACCCATTTAAGCAGAAATAAATGACCTTTTTCTTTGTAGTTACCTATCTTTTTGTGTTATTCGTATATTATACAATATGATATTTGTATTGTTCTTTGAAATTTGTTTACTTTAATTAATTGTTTCACTGAAAAATAAAACGTTACTTAATAAATAATTATTTAATCAATAATTTGATAAAATTTCTGTAGCAATATAATTTAAACATTTATTATTTATGATAAACAAAAAATCCATCATACTTAAAAAAGTTATTCAAATAGCTAAACAATTAAATTATAAGTTTTGGTCGGTATAATAGAGGTATTTTAAAATTATAATTTTATTTCGAATCGAAATTCCAAAAGTCGACACAACTATGGCCTATATGGATTTGCAACTTAACGTTCTTAAATGGTGTGGCATGTTACATCTTACGAATTGTTCATCTAAGTTGGCTTTGAAAATGTTTAATATATATCGTATAACAATTTTTTTCCTCGTAAGCATTTCAGTTATCACTTTGACAACACAATTAACAGTGACTTCCAGTATGTTAATGTTGGCAAAAACTATTGATATGTGGACAATGGCTATTTCAGGAATGTATAAATGGTTCTGTATGATTAAATTCAGTAATGATTTTATTGCTTTTGATACATCTCTAGTTCAAATACAAACAAATGCTGTGTTAATTTATGGCTCTAAAGCTAACAAATTTACCAAAAATCACTTACGTTATACAAAGAAAATTACAGTTTTTTATTTGTTAAGTGGTTTTATAGGTGTCATATGCATTATATTAATGCCTTTATTTGCTTATTTCAATAGGTGAATAGTATTTTGCAGTTGATGGATTATTTCATTATTTATATTAAATATTGTTTTTTAGTAATCAACGGAAGCTCAGTTTTTTCAATGATCCGCATAATTACCCTATAAGTTGCTGGATACCATTTACCATAAGAAATTATTGGGAGGTCGCTGGCATATACACTATACAATTTATAACGTCTTTAATAGTAACAAACACTTACTTAGGTATAGATGCATTTATGTTTGGTACTATTTACGCAATCGGAGGTCAAATTGATTTACTTAACTCAGTACTAAATAATTTTTCTGAAAACAACACACCAAGTATGACTGTAATTTTTTTAATATATAATTATAACAAATTTTTTGAATGTTAGAAAATTCTTAAACTTAAAGTCAAAAAAATTCAATTTATTAAAAGAATTGTTTTAATTTTAAATTAATGCTGTGAAATAATAATAACTATCATTTAATAATCGATATAAATAGGGTGATTTCTTGACTACGCTTTGTTTAATATATTTAAAAATATATAGTAAAACAAAACATTTTTTTAACAAGTTCCATGTTTCTTCTGTTCATAATTTTCTTACAATTTTTTTATTTTCTTATAAATTCATTATTCTTTAAAATTGAATCAACTTGAGTTTTTAAATGACAAAATAAAAATTTAACTAACATATGTATTGGAAAATGGAGTAGTTAATGAAATTTCTGGTTAACTTTTGACCTAGTATTCCAGTAGTTATAACAATTTTAAAGTATAGGTTATGACATATGTGAATTTAACTATTTTTATTATTAGTAATTTCTCAGGCTTAGTCCTCCTTCCACCTAGAAATAATGGTACAAAAGTAATTTTTTCAATTAGATTATTTTCTAACACAAATGCCAAAAATTCAAAATAATTAATTTTTAAAAGAATTGAGAAGGGAATAGAATTAAATATTCATATGAAAATTATAGTGTACAGAAAAATATAAACTTTGAGTAAAAAAATTATTCATTTCACTTTATATTTTTAAAGATAAAGCGTAATAAATGAATTGATCTGTATGTTACAAGCTCTTCGGCAACTGGCAAATTCCTACAAAAACAAATTAACTCCTATAGGGATAGCGTTAATGTTGTCTGATTGAAAATTATAAATAATAAATAATTATAAATTTCCTCGCTCTCTACTATAAACACATAGTGATAATTTCTACATACAAAATTCATATTATTTCTTTAATAATATTATTATTATTGTCCTAGTAGTTAACATATTTAAACTACTAAGCTACTAATATTAACTGATATTTAATGAACACCTTATGGTAAAAATAATAAATGCATAAAAATCTTAAAATAAATAAATTTATTTTAATTTTTTAATTTTGTTGAAGTATAAACTAACCATACTAAAAGTAAGTTCTAGTTATTTAAAGTTCTATGATGAAAACAGGTCAAAACATGCTACCTATTTCACTCAAGAATGAGAATATAATACACCAAGACAAATTGTATTCAAAAATGGTTTTATGTGTAAAACATCATATATTGATATTAAAGTTCAGGGATTATTTTTTTACTATTTAGTAATACTAATGTTAATTAGTATAGAATTTTTACACGTAAAATTAATATTGTTAGGTACATAAGAAAAATAAAAAATATGTATAGTTCACTCATATTAGTTGATTACTTGCATGGAATAATTTCAATAACGTTCGCAATATTTCAAATAACAGTAAGTAAGCTTTTCAGTTTAGAATACTTATATCTTAATTTTATAAACTATTAATTCTTTAAATAAATATATGTCTTCTCTCCTTTTTTAAAATTTAGATTAGTGAAAATTTTGGTGAAAAAATGGGAATAAGTATTTTTGTTGTTGTAAGTCTGTATCACCAGTTTCTTAACAACGTTTTCGGTGAATATTTAGTTCATAAGGTACTTTTGATAGTGACTTTAAATGATTATCTTATTTTACTGTTAATTCTCTATTCTAATATTTTTAGCAATCAAATGTAAGGGAAGCATTATACAATGTACCATGGTTTCAATCTGACAAAAAATTTCGTAACATTACTACATTTATGTTATCAAGAACAAATATGCAGATCATGATCACTGGATTTTACATGTATAAGCTGTGTATAAATTCTTTCATTAAAGTAAGTTAAGTGGTATTAGTAACATAAGGTTATACTAAATATAATGAAATTTTATGAATCAATTTATTCCTCAAATAATCTTTCAGTCCGTAATATTTATTTCATAGTTATATTATATCATATTTGAACTAAACATTTTACCAACAACTTTTGTATGCTTAAACATTAACATTCCTTTTCCTATACATACTTAAATGGTTAAATTAATTATAAATTAATAGTTTGTTAAAGCGCTTTATACATATTACATGGTTTTAAGACATATGAATCAAACAAAACTAGTCATCAGTTGAATGTATTGCCGGTAAGGTTTAATGTAAACTATAAAATTTTACTTAAATAATTTAATAATAAATAAATAGTTATAGCAATTGGTATCACAAGGTTTTTACATTTAAAATATCCCTTATATACTTACACTTAGATTTTACTTATTTAAAATCTTTCATATCAAAAATTACTTATACTTATCAATTAAAATCAAAATTAAAATTTAACAAAATTCAAAATGCTGTATAAACTTAACTACTGAATTAAAATAAGAGTATTTAGTTTTAACATTTTTCTTTAAAAATTATACATAAAATAGCTATCTTTAAATCTTAAAAAAAAATTAATTTTTAAAATATTTTTTGTAATTGTGAAAAATAACAAAACATATTTTAAATATAGTCCTATATTGTAAAAATTGATTAAAAAAAAAGTATAAAATGTTATGTACATCATAAGTTATATAAGTTGTTAATTAGATATACTCCACTTTGTATATTTACACTTATATTGTACTATAAAATCATTCATATTAAAAATTACAGGTTTTATGTTTATCGATGATCATGTACAGTAAATTTTACAAAAATATTTAAAAAGCATTCAATTTTGAGTTTTTTTACTCAATTTATAAGTTTAATAGAGCTTTATTTCTCTTATTTGTATGACATAATAAAATGTAAATTTTTCATCAAAATAATCTTTAATCAAAGACTAATTAATTTTTTTTTTGTCTAAAAAAAACGATATTTAATTATTCTATAGTAAAAATGTATAATAAGTTTACAATGCTTTTATTTTTTATATAGGTGCACTTATTATGAATCACTAGCAACTTGATTAGAAATTAATAACATAAAAAAACTAATTAATTCGTAAAAATTTAATTTGTAAACCTTTATTATAATATTTAACATTTGTAGTTTATAATTTTGGATACATATAAAAATGAAAAATTGTAGAAAATTATTCTTTTTACATTAAATGTAGATTTTTTTTTTAAATTTTTTTATTCATATTTTTGTTGGTCAAATATAAACCTTAAAAAATATTATACAGATTATTTTAGAATACTGATTTTTACCACAGCAACACGAATATTGAACAGGAGTATTATTTACGGTATCCATGCTACATATTTACATACTGAAAATTCTGTGTTGCCATTTTTGCCCTTTAAGACCTTGTTTAATATCCCCCGTACTAGTGTCTCTACGTCAGTATAATCACCTCCTAATTATGCATATCAAAAAAAAAAAAATATCTGAAATTATGTCTCTGATGTTGAGTAAAAAAAAAAACAATTTTTTTAAACTGTCTTATGAAAAGATCACAAAAAATGAATTAGTAATTATTAATAAATTCTCTTACAATAATTGAATGAATTTAATAATGATGTTATACTAACAAAAATAATAATTAAATATTTTTTTACGGTCATCATGTGTAAAAATAGACCGTTTTAGGTTTTAGTAACTATTTTCAAAACAAACGTTTTAATTAAGGAATAGCTGAAATTCCAAAATTTGTACACATAGTATTTGTATTACATGAACTCTTAGGCTTCTTGATCCATATATAATATATGTATTAATCACTAATAAATTGAAGTTAATTAATAATGAAAATGATTAAATTTAATGTTTATCTATAACATATAAATAATAGAATGTTAAAGTTAAAAAATTAGAAATTAGAAATTGAAATAGAAAAAGAAAATCCTTCTAAAAATATTATTTCAAATATTTATAGATATATCATTGTCATGGATATATATGTAAATATTCAAAATAATTCAATAGTTCATGAAAGCTTTAATAAATTCTTTCAAAAATAGATTTTAATTTTTCTTTAGAATTTTACACCAAACTATTATTTAAGTAAAGCGTATTATCCGGTGGGATGAACATCCATACTGTCCCTATATAAACTTTTAGATTGATGTTTTTTTAGCAAGACTCATTGCTTATCTTAAAATTAAAGGCTTAAATTATAACAATAATTTGTTATCTGTATTATTTGACTTTAATTTGTACATACAAAATATTTAAGCAAATTCTCTAGGGTATGTTACTTAATGTAGGCTGTTTCTCGAATTGATGATTCGATTGTACTTATTAACAGTTTTGTATTGTAGAAAGTACATATACGTGAGTCTAAGTAACGACATCTATTAATTAGGTAACAAGTGATAAATATTGGTTGTGTTATTATCATGCAGGGATGCATAAAAAATATATATGATCTCAGGTAAGGAAAAGGTATTTAAAATTAACTCTTTTTGAAACTCAATTTTGCTCTTTAATTCTAATACTCATATTACCCAGTAGATAAAGCGTTGGCTCTACTGATTAAGACGCTCAGTTAGGTCAAAAAATGAAGTGCTTGAAGGTTAATTAGTACAAGCAGAAAATAAGTAGTATAAGCGAAGTAATAATAATCATATTTTCTGTCAAGCTAATTTACAACATAATCAGCCATATTATAGCCGTTTCATAAACTATTTTTGAATTTCGTCATAAACAAATCCGACGCCATATTTATTGTTTATATACCGCACCAATAGTTAGATTCATCAAAAAGAAGTAAGTATAGGCTTATTTCACCATTGTATAACATTTTGACTCAAGGATTATGAGAGATGTACATTTAGTTTTGGGTCTCGTAATGCATAATAAGAATAGATAGCTTGTAGCTATTATAATTTTAAATAGAAATTTAAAACTAAGAAACCCAGTACAGGGGAGTCGCGGCAAAGTTGATCCGTACATTTTTCAAAAAGTTATAGCATAATAAAGTGAAAAATGAAAAAAATAAAATTGAGAATTTTCACACAATAACAGCATTCGGTAGCCATTTTCACCGTGAAGATAAAATAAAGTCCCAAATTTTTTTTCCATAATAAAGTATATTATATTAACTTCAATTTAAGATATATATAAAAGTGTCAGTCTTTCCGGAACATTTTTAAAAGTCAAGTTGAAAAAGTTAATTTTTTGTAAAAAAGTTGTCATTTTAAATCCCTTCCTGTGGGCAGGTAAAGGGTCAAATTTATAAATAAAATATACCAAATGAAAGGTAATGATATCATGCATCTATAAAAAAAAGAATTATATTGATATGTTTATTTTTAAAAAAGTTACGGCAGTTTTTAGTAAAAAGAATTGAAAAAATTTCGAAAATTAGCTATTTTTAAATTTTTAAATTTATAATTTTTTGGAGGTTTCCCCTATTTAAGGGGAACAAAAGAAAATTTTCAATTTTTGAGGGTAATGTCTTTGACTTGATACGATTTGTGATCATTGAAAGAAATCAGTTCGGTGAGAGCTGAGAAAAAGTGTTAACAGACACAAAAAAAAAAAAACACATAGTATAACCAATACCTTCTAAGCTTCGCATTGAAGCTAAAATCTTAATGTTAATATTTTAACATTAAAATGTTAATGTTTAACTCAAAAAGCTACAGGAAAATACTTTACTATAGTAAAAAAAATTCGTATATAAATAATTAAGAAACAATGTTATCATTATCAACATTAAATACATACTGACGCCCCGATCGAAAGATACTCTCTTATGGGTAAATCCATATCAAATCATCCAAAGTCGTTGCGCGACCACTTTATTCTTTTTGAAATTTTACACACAAGTTGTCTAGTATATAAGAAGAAAATATTAAAAAAAAAAAATTAAAAAAGTTTTACGAAAATGTATTTATGACTTATCAAAAGTTTTAAATTATGAAATACTTGTAATTCGTAAAAATATCCTTATGATAACAGTATTTATATTTAAGACTTGAAACTTTCATCGTTTTTTTTTTATGTGATACTCTAACATATTCAATAATTACCAACACGTTTTTTAACTTTTAAGTTGGAAAATTTTGTTTTCTAAATTGAGCTTTTTTTACAAAATAATGTAATTTTCAAAGATCAAATTGACTATGAAAAAACATTTTTTTTCAATTAATTTTTTTTTCTAAATATTAACGTACACTCATAGTAATATGTAATTGTGTTTTGAAACATTTTACTCTTACCGTTTTTTATTGGGACATATTTAAAAATGCTCGAATTTCTAAAAAATCAATTTTTAAGCTTTTTTATTTTAATTTTTCTCTGGTGGAACAAAATATTTTAATATGATTTTTTCACACAATATAGTACTATGTATGTAGTTTCTATGAAAAAAATTTCAAGTTTGATATTTGACCAAAACTTATCAAAAATTAACTTTCAAAAATACGTTTTTNGTTTTTTATTGGGACATATTTAAAAATGCTCGAATTTATAAAAAATCAATTTTTAAGCTGTTACGTCGCTATTTAGGGGTTTAGCCTAAATGCCCGTCGATAGTATTCTAAGGGACCAACGAGGGATAGCTGGCTAGGCTATATCTACCTTAGGTACTGAAGTTTCCTATTTAATTTATATTCCCTTAGAGGAACTACCAAGGGTCGCACTACAATATATATATA